AAAAATGTAAAGTTACATATTTACCTTTTAAAAATTGGTCAACAATTGGTCAGACATTTAATTATTGGTCAACTAACGATCAAACTAACGGTTTCTGTCAATTTGGATTTCGGGTGTGAATTGTTTAAATGTTTGGTACCGTTGGTGGAACAAATGAAATGTTTGAATAAAGTCTGCAAAAATGTGAAAGGTTTGGTACAATGACTGCAATTTTCCCTTTATTTAATGGCAAAGGTATTATAGTCTTTAGGCAAGCTTAAGGTACATTTGGTACTTTAAGAAAAAGTATGCATAGAGGTGTTAGCTAGTGCAATGATTTTATTTTCCTCTATTTTTAATTTGAATCTTTCGATTTTCATAGTAGCAGATTATGCTAAAAATCTGAGTTATTGCAAAAATCAAATAGGGCCATAATGTTCCATCTTAAAAAGTTAATATTATTAACAAGAATGACACAAACCCTTATATATTGATAAATATTTTTATCTTTATTTAATATTGGGGTTCTACCCTCGACATGTCTCCATAAGATGGTGGTTTATTTGATGACATCAATCCTAGAATTCATGTGTTCATTTGAATATTAGTCGAACCAAATTGATACAATATTAAATTTTTTTAGGAGCACATACGAAGCCTTATTGGTTGTCCTACGGTTTTATTTGGCAACAAAATAACGCTTTTAGTCTATATGTGTCATAAGGGTCAAAGCGTGGATCTTAAATACACAATTTGGGAGTTGCAAAATGTGGTGTTAGAAACAATGATGAAGTAATTAGCTTTGATGACCGAGAAAACACTCCCAAGTTTATTATAATATGTTTCCATTGTATTTAAGAAAAAATGAATTTGGAAGTTTATTTTATAATTGAATTTTATTAGTTTAAATTTGTACCGATATTAATATATCGTGCTTATATTTAGAATATTTTAATTTAAGTGTTATATATATTGAGATTTAGGACTATTTACTTATTTTTACGTTGCTCAAATATGGTTTCAAATCGAATTGAACAGGAAAAATTATTTGTTTTAGTTTAGATTTTTTTCCAAACCATTTTAAATGTTTCTTTTATGTTTATCCCAATTTCTAGGTTTTCTGCGTGAGAACAAGGATCATAGCTGAAGCTACCCAAAATTGTACCAGGTGATACCTCGATTTTGAGCTCGAAAACACACGAGAGATGATTACAACCAAGACCTTTGAACAACCTAACAATTTATGCACGTAAAGTTATAATCTGAATAATAAATAATATACCCGAATAATGAATCGGAATGAAGTATATAAAACATGGAAAGGTGTAATCCGGCAGAAATTAGAACACGTGTAGGATATTGTGTGGACCTATTAGGATTCGACTCATGAGAGTCTTAGGACCTCATTAAATTTACAAACAATAACGACTCCCTTTAGATATCTTGTTTTATATTATTATTTATTCACTTCTAAACAATAAGCTGAGTGCGTTAACACTATTTAAGAGACTCTCTAAGTACAAAATGTTCTTTATTTAAGAGTTAATGCTTAAAAATAAGCTCAAGAGACTTTTTATTTTAACTTTTTAAAATATAAAGTGGATTTGGTTCTCCAAATTTAGAGAGTTAAATCATTCTCTATTTTTAATGTACAATTATTATATTTAATAAGTCATAAATTTCAATATTTTATTTCTTACATTATTCAAATTACATTTAAATTAATTGACCATTGACATATAAAATATTATATTAAATAAATTATGATAAGAAATTAATAAATATTTTTTGAGAAAAGTAAAATAAGAGTCAAAATAAAGAACATTGTTTTAGCAAATAAAATTTTTGACACTCTAAATTTAAATATGTTCTCTCTAATACATGAGAATAAGATGCTCTTTATAAAGAAATAGTCACTTGGAGATGCTATTAACGACAATGTTTTGAGCTTGTTTATATTAATTTTTCAATTATTCAAACTTCAATTTTAATTACATATTACATGTGATCCACGAGTATTATCAGTTTTTAATCATACATTTTATCTATATTTAACAAAAATTGATAAATTTCGCTTAAACAATTTGTGAAATAACTCTTTTATCTATTTATTTTATTTTTTAAACTGTTAGCTTGTGCGAGTGAGAGCCGAGAGGTGGTATTTCCCACTGAAATAAACATTTGCCATCAATTTGTAGTCACAGAATCAATTCTCCTTGTCCCTCTTTTCAAACTGTCTACAATTATTGTCTCATCCTCAAACCAAATGCTCTCCCTTTTCCCATTTTAAGAATCGCTCATAAACGCGCTGCCATGATGCAGATGAGCACCGTCGCCTCCACCACCAAGATTGCGGTGGAAGATTCGAGGAGAGCGTCATCGAAATTGTCGAAAAGTTAACCAAGTCAACCTCCTTCGACAAAGCCATTTACAAGCATGACATAATGGGCAATCAGGGCCATGCCTCCATGCTCGCTCACTAGATTGTAATTGTTAAGATTTAAAATTCTATTTTAAAAGGTCAACTTTGTTAAAATTGTTAAAAGTAGTAACTCAAACGCTTATAAATTAATATATGTTTT